GAGTCTGCAGCGGAGCCTCTGTCGGCGGAAACTCGGAGGAGTGAGGAGCGGCGCGCTGCCGCCCCTCGACGCAGGGAACGCAGGTAGGGGCAGGCCCCGGGGGAAGGGGAGGGAGGGACCAGGGCAGACCAGAGACAAGGACACGGGAGGCCATGCCCCGAAGACGGGGCAGGGAGGGGTGACCAAGGCGGTGGTGCCAGAGGAGAGTCTGGTGAGACAGGAGGCGACACGAGCAGGGGGCAGACTCAGGACCAGACCTGGACGCTGCAGCAAAGACCTGACCCGACGCAGCTACCTGACTGGACGCAGGAACCGGAGGAGACTCAGTAGTGAGTGTGTACAGGCTCGACCCCGGCCGGCGGGTGAACGTGGCCAAGTGACGTCCCGTCTGAGCACACGTGCAGTGAGTCACCCTCTGACGCGCAGGAGTGAACTGGTCAACCCCCCCATCCTGTAGGTCAGCACCACTCACCAAGTTCGTAGAGAACGAGGGGAGGTAAAGACCCGTCAGGGAGCCAGAGGGGGCAGCCGGACACGGTAGGACAGTGGAGTAGTGAGCAAGGACAGGACCCCCGGAGGGGTCTGCCAGGGAGACTGCAACAGGCCGACCAAGCGGCGTGAGGGTGGTGCGGTCTCGAAAGAAGGACCGGGAAGCACCCGAGTCAAGGGTGAAGGTGTGCAAGGCCTGAGCCGACGCGGTACCTGAGAGAGCAGACTCACCAGCACCTGGAGCAGCAGACGCACTAGCACCTAGAGCAGCGGCCTCACCAGCACCTGGAGGAGCAGACGCACTAGCACCTAGAGCAGCGGCCTCAATGCCCGGGTCAGGCGGAACACACAGGTAACAGTCACCCTCAGCACTATCAGAGATAGCATACATCGCAGCAAGAATAGCATCAAAGTCAAGATCAAAGATAGCTACACCCGACCTAAGCAAGTCACCCCAGCGGGGGATCTCAGTGGCGTGAGGGAACTGGATACGCCAGGCGTCCGTCAGGCGGCCAAAGCAGCGCTGGGTGGTGTGCGGCCCACCGCACGGCTCCCCAGTGCGGTCACCTGTACGCAGGACGTAGGCACAGGGACCAGGAGCCCCAGGGCGCTGGCGCGCAGCGTACCACTCACGAATCTGCTGGGGCGACGGGGTCTCACGAGAGCGCTGCTGCTGCTGGTGCTGACCACCACCCCGACCAGCTCCACCCCCACCGCCTCCGCCGCCTCCACCTCCACTGCCGCCTCCGCCTCCTCCACCCCCACCGCCTCCACCGCCGCCTCCACCTCCACCGCCACCACCGCCGCCCCCACGCCCCCCACCACTCCCACCCCCACCTCCCCCGCCGCCCCCACCGCCACCACCGTCGCCCCCGCCCGCCCCTCCCGTACCCTTGCCCCCCTTGCCCTTGCTGGTGCGGCGCCTCCCACTAGGAGCAGACGCAGCGGCGACCGATTCAGTGCCAACGAGGTCGACAGCAGCAGCAGAGGCAACAGAGGGCAAAAGGGGAACAGGGGAGCACCCTCAAAGAAAGGGGCACGAGGGTCACCACGAGAGGCTCCTACAGCGACTATACTCTTCTCAGGTGCAAGGAGGCACTCCTCGAGGAGGTCAACGGTGAGTGTGGTGGGGCAAACAGAGAGGAAGTGGTCCCTGACCGAGCGAAGGGAGTCAGGGAGCCGGGTGACGAGGTAGTAGAGGGTGATGTACATGGGGGGGGGTTCTTGGCGCAGAACTCAGTAGGAAGCGCAGCGCGGTAGCGGGTGTCACTAGTGCGGAGGTGCGTAATGAGGTGAGCGACTGTGGCAAAGGCAGCGAGGTCAGGGAACAGGTATGGCAGCATGAGGCGGCTAAGAGCAGCAGTCTTGAACTGGCTGAAATGGGCGCGCTCAGTGGACGGCAGGTGACTACGCACAGCAAGACGGGCAGCAGCATCGCGTGTGGTCCACTGTGAGCGAACAGTACTGTCAGCATCGGCAGCAGGGGCAGTAGAGGCGCCAGACGTGAGATCGAACAGTGAGAGGTCGTGTTTGCTATCGCACTGCAGGAAAAGCTGCAGATCATAAACCCAGACACCGAAATCGACTGCCCGACCCTCAGCATCAAAGGTAAGCAGGACTAGCCATGACAGCAGCAGCAGTAGGCTAGCGACAGCAGTAGCAGTGCGACACGGCTAGACTGTGCGGCAGGGCGGCGCGGCTCGGTGGGGTGCTTACCAGGGGCGGGCCGGGGTGCAGCGAGGCGGCAGAGCAGGGCCGCGACTCGGCTGCAGTGACGGCAGCAGCTGCAGCACCTTCTTCGGCGGCGGCAGCTGGGGCAGGTCCGCCGGTGGCAGCCGCTGCAGGCTCGGCGGCGGCAGCTGCGGCAGGTCCGGCGGCGGCAGCTGCTGCAGGGTCGGCGGCGGCAGCGGCGGCAGGTCCGGCGGCGGCAGGTGCGGCAGGTCCGGGGGCGGCGGCTGCTGCAGGTTGGGCGGCGGCTGCTGCAGGGGTCGCCTCGGCAAAAGGAGGGGCAGGGCCGCAACAGAGGGGGCGGCACAGCCCCGGGGACCCGCACCAGCGGGTGTGCAGGCCGCGCGGGGCCGTCACTGCAGTGGCCGCGGCTAACAGCAGCGGCGGCAGCGGAAGTGACGGCAGCTGCTGCTGGGCGGCGGCGACGGCGGCTACGACGGGCCGCGAGGAGCCGCGGAGGGGGCCGCGAAGGGCCTGGAGGGGGCCACGAAGGGCCGCGAAGGGGGCCGCGAGGGACCTGAAGGAGGCCGCGAAGGGCCGCGAAGGGGGGGGGGGGGGGGGGGGCGCGAAGGGCCGTGAGACGGGGCCGCGAGGGGGCCGCTAAGGAGGTCCGCGAGAGGGCCGCTAAGGGGGGGCCGCGAGGGGGGCCGCTAAGGAGGGCCGCGAGGGGCCACGAAGGGGGGGCCGCGAGAGGGCCGCTAAGGGGGCCGCGAGGGGGCCGCTAAGGGGGGCCGCGAGGGGCCACGAAGGGGCCGCTAAGAGGGGCCGCGAAGGTAGGGCAGGGCGCAAAGCGCGATTCGGGCAGGCTAAAAAAAAAATCGGTGGGCCCTTGAAAAAAAAATTCGTTCCCACTAGGGAACCCGCTCAGAATACCATGTGAAGAGAATAGTGAGGAATGATTGACTAGTGGGAAGGTTGGATACAAGTACAAACCCTAGAATGTGTTGTACCCCATATGTGCTACCCCACTAAGTCATATAAATCTGACAAGAGAGAGAGAGAGAGAGAGAGAGAGAGAGAGAGAGAGAGAGAGAGAGAGAGAGAGAGAGAGAGAGAGAGAGAGAGAGAGAGAGCGAGAGAGAGAGAGAGAAAGAGGCTTAGGATCTAGTCCTTAGCCTCTCCAGCCCTTCCTAGCTTAGTATATAGGCCCTAGAACCTAGGTGTGGGGCTCATTCTTCATTCTGTTCTCTGCATTCCTTCTCCTAACCCAGCGGCTATGGAGAGAGAGCGAGAGAGAGAGAGAGAGAGAGAGAGAGAGAGAGAGAGAGAGAGAGAGAGAGAGAGAGACCGCCCACTGCCCCATTGAAGAGCAGACCGCTGACTTCACCATGACAGACCGTAGCAGCGGGGCAGTCTATGTCTGTGATGTGACCATCACGGACCCTATCAGCACAAGGGACCCTGAGGCACAGAAAGGCAGGGGGTGGGCGGCAAGGGAGCAAGCCGACAAAAAGATACAGCACTACGCTAATCGCCCAGAGACGGTTAGCTTCTTCCCCCTGGCTGTGGAAACCTACGGCTGCCCTTGCGCCGAGGTACCTGTTTTTCTGAAGCTCTTAGCAGACACGGCGGCTCGGCGCCACTTCAACGCCAACTCAAAATCCTTTCATGCCGCGAAGTTTCTGCACCAGTTCAGACAGAGATGGTCGGTGGCCCTTCAGAGGGCCCAGTCTGTGGGCCTCTTACTCAAGCTCGGTGAGGCGGCAGCAGCAGAGAACCCGCCGGTAGGCGGTATTGGGCAGGAGCTGAACCTGGGGGATTGTTTTGCGGTGGTCGAGCCCCTCCTGGAGCTCTAGAGGAGGTTGTGGGTAGGATCCGGTGCTTTGGTTGTTTGTTTCCTAGGCCTCTATAAACCTGCATGCTTGTACTTTGCGGCTAAATCAATACAAGGACAATTAGAGAGAGAGAGAGAGAGAGAGAGAGAGAGAGAGAGAGAGAGAGAGAGAGAGAGAGAGAGAGAGAGAGAGAGAGAGAGAGAGAGAGAGAGGCTTATGATCTAGTCCTTAGCCTTTCCAGCCCTTCCTAGCTTAGTATATAGGCCCTAGGACCTAGGTGTGGGGCTCATTCTTCATTATGTTCTCTGCATTCCTTCTCCTAACCCAGCGGCTCGCGCCGGCCGCCTTCGGCGGCCGACGCTCGACAGCGCGGCCTTCGGCCGCGCGTTAGGGGTGACAAGATTAAAGGAAAATAACAGGGAACAACATGGAGCATTACAACATGCGGAAGTAAAGGAGCAACAGCACCTACAACACCCTCGGGCGTGACTACACCGCCATGGGGAAGCCCAGAGCCAAACCACGCCAGAAGGTGGTGGCGAAATGGATAGCACAGGCTACTCGGCGAGTATCCAAACAAGCCGCCCGTCCATCCAACGCAGCACAGAAGCAACGGCCGGCACAAGGTCAAGAGGTGACCGTGCAGCGGAAGACACAAGGCGACGCAATGCGGCGGGCCCCGGTCCGGAGGCAACACCAGGCCCATGTGTGGGAGCGACCGCAGGATCTCCGTCACGGCTGCCACGACAGACTCTGTCTCCTGCTGAGAAAGCCTCGGACACTCCAAACCGTGACGCGTCATGCAAGAATGCAGCTGGCCGAGGACTTCCGCCAAATGGTCCAGGCACGTCGCCACGGTCATTACGCGCAGCTCAACGCGAAGCAATCGCTCAACAGGCGTGCACTCTCCCCACCGGCTCCAACGCTCGTCTGGGGGCGGGGGAGGGGGAGGAACGGGTGCAGGCACGGCGGGAACCATAGCCTCACGGCTCACAGGAGCAGAGGCAAATGCCGGTGGCGGAGCCACACCGGCTGGATGAGAGGCAGGCGGAGGAGTCTGCGGAGGAAGCCGAGGCCGCGGCTGCAGCGTCAGAGATCCACCGAGAGGGAGAGGCGTTGGAGGAGGGGGATGCTGTGGCTGCGGCACCGCCGACTGCAACCCAGGAGGCGCAGGAGCCGGCACAGGGGGAGGCCGCTGCTGGAGCTGCCGCTGCTGCCGACGGCTCAGTCTCTCCTGCTGCCTCTATCGCCGACGCAACACGTTCGGGTCCCCGAGTCCTCCTCGCGGAGGGGAGCGATAGGATCGGCGGAAGGGGTGGGCGTGGGCGCGGGGGGAGTGGTACACAGGGGAACGACGGCGGCAACGCTGGTCGCGTTCACGGTCGAGCCCGCCTTCAGCCAGCGCCGCGGCGACTCGGAGCAGCGCTGGCACCTGGCCGCCCGAGGCCCCTTCGGGGATGGCATAAGCAAGAGCAGACGCCACAAGAGCCAGAGCTCCAGCCGCCATTGCCGACCGAACAAGAAGTGAATGTCGCGGATGCAGCAACAACGCAGAGACAGCAACGCAGAGAACGTCCGCAGCGACGGGAGGCGGGAGAACCGGCGCCGAACGCGCCTCCGACAGCGCAACGTGCAGCACGTGGTGCGGCGAGAGTTTGTTGGGTGGCACCGGCCACGCCGTGGCGTCCGGGTGGGCGTGCGGTGGGGAACGGTGGGGCGGCGGTGAGAGGGAGGAGGGGACGCGGAGCTAGAGCACGTGCGCCACCAGAGCCGACAAGGACGGGTCCTTGGCGGGCGAGGCACGGTCGGGAAATCCCAACCGTTGTTGGGGGAGAGGGGGAAGAGGATGATGCTGACCATTCGTCCGATGATGCCCCCTTTATGGCATCAGCCACACCCTCATCGGAAGAGATCTTGCTCGCCGAAGAGGGTGAGGAGGGACGACGTGGCATACGCAATCGTCAAGCCCAACACCCAACGGCAAGGGGGGAAGCGGCCCAAGCAAATCCAGAGGACGACGTGGCGAATGGGGCGGACAGCAGGGCTCAGGACGTCCGTTCCCCGGGAGAGCTGGCGGATATGGAAAACTTATGGACTGCAACAGAGAGCTGGGATATTGGCAAGCTGACACGAGGCGACCAGCCATTTGTCGCTAGAAGACTGCCTCCTGACGTGCTTACCAACTACTCGCTGTGCCTTCTCACTCCACTACGACTCGCAAAAAATCCAAACAGTCCTGGTGCATGGCGAGTGCTATGCTTCCTACCACGGCTGACATTACGCCCTCAACCCCAGGAAACGCTTGGCAACAGATGGGCCGAAATCGAAGCGCGACTACACAAATTCAGGCTGGGGGAATGGGAAAACCTGTACACCGAGGCCATTACCATTCCCCCGAACCAGGATCCAATCAGGCACCAATCCGAAGCCACAGGGCTTTGTGCCAGGGCGGAGGGACTGGTCTGGAAAGGCAACCTCTCCAAAGCGGTAGCCGCGCTACAGACAACCCCATTGGCGAAAGCGACATCAGAGACTATCGCAGCTCTGCGGGCGAAACACCCAGAGGCGATGTCACCCCTACCGTACTGGGTGGCAGGAGAGTTGACCTCGGAACTTTCCGTCAGCCAGGAAAACCTGCGCAACCTTTTAGCTAAGTGCCCCAGTGGGGTTGGGGTAGGTCCATCAGGAACCTGCTTCGAACATTTCCGTGACTCCGCCCTAGGCAACGAGGAAATCCTTCCGCTACTCAGGGGAGCTGTGAACCACCTGCTCGGCAACTTCGTCCCACAGCCAGTCAGGGACATACTCCTCCCCTCCCGTTTGATAGCCCTCGAGAAGCCAGGCGGCGGAGTCCATCCCATAGCGATTGGAGAGACTATCATTCGCATAGCGGCTAAGGCGGCACTACGCGAACTGGGCCCGTCAATCAACAGTTATTTCCTACCAGTACAGTTTGGCGTGGCGGTACAGGGCAGCGCGGAATGCATAATCCACTCGGTTAGGGCGTTACTAGAAGACGACAGTTCCAGAATCGCCATACAGATTGACGTGGAAAATGCGTTCAATAGCGTAGAGAGGGCATCATTCATGAACTCGCTTCAGTGGTCGGAGTTGAACCCGCTGATCCCATTGGTTCGGAACCTGTACAACGGCCCGTCCACGTTACTTCTGGATGTAGCATTCGGCAAGGAGGTGGTTATGAGCACAAGGGGAGTTTGCCAGGGGGATCCCCTTGGCCCGCTTTTGTTTGCAGCAGCTATACAACCCGTCCTGCTCCATGTCGCCATGGCATTCACCGAAGTCGCAATCGTGGCGTATGCGGACGACATAACGGTAGTGGGTCCTCCGGAAGCGGCAAGGAGAGCATTCGACCTCCTCGCCAGCGGCCTGCAGCGGTGCGGGCTCTGCTGCAACTACTCCAAGTCAAAGGCATGGGGGCCGGGCATAGGCGAGGGAGAAACAGAACTCCCAGACGCAATCACGGCGGAAATGGGGGGTATAAGGGTGCTTGGGAGCCCGATAGGGACACCGGAGTTCTGCGAAGAGTTCCTACGAGACAGCTTGACGGAGGCGGCTTCATCGTGTGACCTAATCGGGCAGCTCCACCCCCAACACGCGCTCCTCCTCCTCTCCCGGTGCAACTCCTGCCCCTGGACGATTGGCGTAGCTGGAGCGAAAGCCTCTTGCGGACTTCCCTGGAGGCGGCTAAGATGTGCGTCCCGACGGATGAGCTGGAACACAGCCTGACCTGGCGGCAAGCCACCTTGCCGGTCAGATTGGGGGGCCTGGGGCTCATTGATCCGGTTTCAGAGGCGCCAGCAGCCTACCTGTCATCTGTCAGCGCGGCACAGCTCCTACTGCAGCAGCTCAACACACCGCGGGACCATACCCTCGCCAGGGTCGCCACACTACTCTCCCCGGATCCCACTACCGCGGGTGAGGAGCGATTGACACTGGCGGAGCTAGAAGCCCGACTGCCTAAGGAAGCAAGACTGGTGCTGGGGGACTCCAAAACCCAAATGAACCCCAAATGAACACGAAGTAGAACCTGCAGCTGCTGCTTTCTAACCACATCAACAGAGCCAGAGCGGCGGAGCTGATTGCAGACACCAGAATCGACAGACTTGGTGTGGACAATGGCCACCCACTGCGCCTACTGAGCCTACAAGGCACAGGCGCCGGGGACTGGCTCAATGCAGTACCAACCCGGGCAAATCTCACATTAGCGCCCGGGAAATTCTCTCTAGCGCTAGGACTGCGCCTAGGCCTCACGCTGCCCGTTACAGATCAGTGCCCGTGCAACCGAGAACGGTCCGCCACTGCCGATAAAAGCTTACCCAATCACCTACTGCGATGCGGCGAGGGTGGGGACCGGACAAGGACGCACAATGCACCAGTCTATGCGTGCATGCGTATGGCAAAGGAGGCGAAGTATATAACATTGCATGAGACGACAGTCTACTCACCACCAGTGGATAGGAAGCGGGCAGACCTGGCTATCCGGGACCCTGAGACGGCAGAGACTTGGGTGACTGACGTCACCGTGGCGGACCCCGTGCCGCAGCGGCGGGATCTTGAGGCAACAAGGGCCCCGGGGTGGACGGCTGAGGAGGCATGCATCGGCAAGCACAAGCTCTATGAGGAGAGGCCTTCATGTGTGGGGTTCCTCGGCTTGGCAGTAGAGACCTACGGGGCACTGGCAGCGGATACGGTCAAGTTCTTCAGGTTGCTTGCCACAAACGCCGCTAAACGGGGCTTCCGCCATGGTCCTCAGACCACGGTGGCAGCAAGGCTCAACGCCCACTACCGCCAGCGCTTCTCGGTGATGCTGCAACGGTGCCAGGCGACGGGCCTCCTCACCAAATCAAACCGTGCTGCAGAGGCTTCCTCCCCACAGGCACCCATGGACCCATGGGAGCCACTCCTGGGGGATTTGTGGCAGGTGCTGGAGGATGGAGTAAGTGGCTAGGCGGCTTAAGCTGGAAGGAAGGGGGTGGGCGGACCTGAGTGGGGGCTTGTGTAGCTTGTTGCAGACCGGGCTGCAAGAAACGAGCAGGGGTGCTCATGGGTGCTATATTGGCCATGGCAGGTTTGGTTTTTCTAACTATGTTGTTCTTTCTTGCCTAGCTAGCTTCCTTGCTGCTTGCATTGTAGACCTAGATAGTCCTGGATAACCTTCCTGCCATGCATGTAACACCCTAAACATCAATGAAGGACTGCTTGAAAGAGAGAGAGAGAGAGTGAGAGAGAGAGAGAGAGAGAGAGAGAGAGAGAGAGAGAGAGAGAGAGAGAGAGAGAGAGAGAGAGAGAGAGAGAGAGAGAGAGAGAGAGAGAGAGAGAGACGAGAGCACTCCACTCCACTCCTGGCTCACTGAGTGCGAGACCACCCTGCCTTCAGACGCACGTGAACTGTTGGAACGAGAGCGACTGAAACGGACGGATGTGAAGCTGCAGCACGCCCTCGCCCTCCAAGTCCACGGCAGTCGCTACGCGGTGCTGGTTCAGGAGACGAGGAAGATGCCGCTGAATCCGCTTGCAGGCCACACGCAGCGGATGTTTTCCTTGACGGGATACGGCACTGGGGATTGGTTGACGGCGATACCAATAGCCCCGAACAGGCGCATTGGACCGGTCCACTTCGCCAACGCCGTCAGATTCCGGCTTGGCTTGCCCTTCTCCACTCCCAAAAACTGTGACTGCGCGGACCACACAGCGATCACCGACCCCCGCCTCCCAAATCACCTCCTACGCTGCGGCACCGGCAAGCACCGCATCAACACTCACAACGAGGTCCGTGATGCTTGCATCAGCATGGCCCAGGATGCGGGATTCATAGTCCACAGTGAGTCGGCGGCCTATTGTCCCATCGAGGAGCAGACGGCCGACTTCACCATGACCGACAGGAGCAGCGGGGCGGTATGGGTGTGTGATGTGACTGTGACTGACCCTATCAGCACGCGGGACCCGGAGGCGCAGAAAGGAAGGGGATGGGCGGCCAGAGAGCAGGCAGATAAAAAGATCCAGCACTATGCAAGTAGACCAGAGACAGTTGGTTTCTTTCCGTTGGCGGTGGAGACCTATGGCTGCCCTTGTGCAGAAGTCCCCGTCTTCCTGAAGCTCCTGGCAGACACGGCGGCTCGGCGCCACTTCAACGCCGACTCTAACTCCTACTATGCCGCTAAGTTTCTGCATCAGTTCAGGCAGCGCTGGTCGGTTGCACTTCAGAGAGCACAGTCAGTGGGGTTGCTCATGAAGCTGGGTGAGGCGGCAGCCGCTGAGAACCCCCCGGTGGGGGGTATCGGCCAGGAACTACACCTAGGGGATTGCTTTGCTGTTTTGGAGCCACTTGTGGAACTGTAGATGGGATAGGCTGTGACTTGCATGCTTACCAAACCTGTACGCTTGTACCTCTCGGCCATATCAATATACGGACCATTAGAGAGAGAGAGAGAGAGAGAGAGAGAGAGAGAGAGAGAGAGAGAGAGAGAGAGAGAGAGAGAGAGAGAGAGAGAACACGAACCTGCGGGGGAAGAGGCGCTCCTGCCATAACTGCCCCACTACGCCATAACTGCCCCAGAGTGGCTTCGGGAACAGAACCTGCGGGGGAAGAGGCGCTCCTGCCATAACTGCCCCAGAGCGCCATAACTACCCCAGAGTGGCTTCGGGAACACGAACCTGCGGGGGAAGAGGCGCTCCTGCCAGGAACGGGAGAGGCTCAACAACAGCGGCAGGAGGAGGATAATGCGCCGGAGGATGTGGAGAGGCACGAGGAGGAGAGGCACGCTGAGGAACTGCAGCTGGACGGGCAGCTGGAGGCGGAGCATGCGCAGGTGGTGCCGCGCGCTGCGAATGGTGGTGGCTCACAGCCCCAACCTGAGAATCACGCACCGCAACCGCTACAAGCTCCCGGATCTCGGCTGGCGACATCTGCTGCTCCTCAACCGGCCAGCCACGCCCGCGACCACGACCTCCCCTCCAACCCGCACGGCCCCCACGGTGCCCATTCCAGCTCGATGGCGAGGGACGGCGCCGAGGCGAATCCTGACGGCGACGCGTCGACTCACGTCCTTCGCGGCGATCTGGCGCGGGGTGCCACGATGATGAGCCACCCCTCCCCCGACCCCCACTGCCTGCCGCCGCGGTCTCCGGGCCCTGGACGGCAGTGGTGGCTGCCGGCGGCTGGTACGCAGGCACGGCGACAGAGGGAGCAGCAAGAGTCGCGGACACCGCTGCCGCGCCGGGCAATGCCACGGGCTCCAACCCCGACGGTCCGGA